ACACAGTGAATTCCATGTTACATTTCTCTCTCTCTTATACAGAAGGTCCTCATCTGTAACAACTCACATATAAAATGTAGTTTTTAAATTCACAATTTCACAATGATTATAATGGCACTACTCTAATCCTCTCTCCATCACCTATTAAAGGGATGTGCAAGATAAGTGGACATGTATGGATACCCACTCATTTATATATGTTTTTATGCTATATTTACTACCACAAGTAGGGCAAATTTTGTCCTAATTCGTACCCACTATATCCCAATGAAATTAATTTGTAAGTGGAGAATAACTTAATCCTTGAAAGCTCTTCAACACATGTAGAAAAAGGAAAACAAAGACCAGACTTTTAAACTTGTCTCTAAGATGCACAGTAATGAACTTGAAAGGTTTCAAACTGTGTACTTTTCAATACTAATATTCTGAATTCTCGCTCAGCACTGCTGATGAAGCCACAAGGGATTTCCTAAAGAAGAGAAGATCCACGAACTCATAGATGATGTTAAAAAGAGAAGATCCAACAACTCATAGATGATGTTAAAAGGTGCCCAGATATTAGGCTGCTGGATAAGAATCTATCTAGAATGGGATACAGAGATAGTCACTTTAATAGGGTTATATAAAGAATAAGTCAAGATAGAACTGGATGATAGTTTAAATATATGCTGTACAATCTATACCAGGGATGTCCAACTTCTGTGCCCCTGGGGCTGCACTAGGTGAGGCATCAGCCACTGGGCTGTGTGCCACACAGTTCCCCTATGCCCTCACTGCACTGCCTCCCACTGCCTCCCCCTCCCCCCCCACTGCTGTACTACACCACTCCAATCCTTCATGCAGCCACGGACTCACCTTCAGCTTCCCGTGTACACTGCCCTACCCCTTGGGGCAGAGGCTGGAAGTAGCAGCCAGAGGGAGGGGACAGCCAGAGCAATGAGGGAAGCAAGGGCCAGACAGGAGCCCAGGGTTGCAACATAACCCCTCCTGGGTTGCATGTGGCTCATGGGCCACCAGTTGGACAGCTCTGATCTATACCATGGCTCTAACTTTGCCCTAAACCCTGGGAGGGCAGTTTCTTGAAACCGCTGACCCATACGTTGAATGGAACTTCAACAGGGATCTAAGTGGTGATCAGAGGTGTAACAACCAGGGTCTGAGCCTCGAGCAGCAGGGGTGGTAGCAGGGGGAGCAGCAGGGGCTAGCTTGGCTGCAGTGGCAGCTGTGGTCACTGCTGTTCTTGTGTCCCCTTTAATTCTCCTCAGGCTGGGTTGAAAAGTGGGGCTTTCGTATGTTTACATTTTTGCTCTTCATTAGCTTGGCTTTTCATACCAGTGTTTTTAAGCACTGAATTGAAGGAACTTTTTATGTCCTCTCAAAGCGTTTAAACTGAATTGTACATGTATCCTGATGCGGTACGCTCTTACCTTACTTAAACAAACAACAAGAAGCCTAATTTTGCAACTCAAACTACTTAATGGAATCCCTTTAGCCAAGATTGCATTTGAGATAGCTTTTCTTTCTAAAATAAAATTATTCATGCTAGCAAGGACTGGATTTAGTTCAAGGCTGGATTTAATAAGAGCTTCCACATTTAAAGTACAAGCCACTGTATGAGCCAAGGCTTTTGGATGCCTTCTTTAAACCACTGCCAAAGTGATTTAGCTTCCTCCTAGTTCATATCAGCCATTGCTCTCTCCTCTTGCAACCTGGCAGTTATTGTAAGTTCCCCAAGTATGTGAAAGTAATAAATAAACAACTGTTATGATTGCGTTGTGGCCAGCTGAATATGTTACATTATGTCTCCTGCTTACTAAAGTGAATAGTGATTCTTAAATCATTCAAATAACTGAAAATAAATCTATTGCTCATTATGCAGAACACAGCTTGAGTTAAATCCAGAGACAAACCAAGATTATGCATTAGCCTTTTAGCTGTAGGAAACCCTCTTGTACTTCTTCCTCTGATGTAACTACTATAACTTTGAAACAAATTAAAGATCTACATCAGTGGTTCTGCAAATGAAAAAAACCTTTTTTCATTTGCAGATACCGCGAAAATTTCAAATGGAGGTGCGGACCCTTTCGGAAATTTTGAATGGAGATGTGGATCCCTTTGAATTGAAAGCGTGGGTATACACACACTTTTGATAGATCATAATCATCTTTTACGGACCCCTTACACATTGTCTGCAGACCCCCAGGGGTCCATGGACCAAAGGTTGAAAACCTCTGATCTAGATACATCACATACCAGCAGCAAAACAAAACAAACAAAACAACAACAACAAAAGAAGCAATTGTGTTTCCAGCTGCATTATACTTGCTACTAGGGTTGTGCGAAGTAGGCCGTATTGGATTCGGATTCAGATTCACCCCGACTCAGGGACAGTGATTCAATTAGTTGATTTAGATCACTGTCCCTGATTCAATTTGGCTGAATCTGAAGATTCGATGCTGATTCAGAGACTCAGTGATTCAGCCATAGACACAGCTTTAAATGTTTTTTTCTACATACCTCAAGGTACCAGTGCAGCTTGTGATGGCTGAGATGCCGGGGTGCATGGAGCATCCCACAGGAGTGTGGGGGGGTTGGGGGGGGCCCTCCATGTGCTCGGCAGCAAACCCAGAAGTGGATTGGAAGTACTTCTAATCCGCTTCCAGGTCCACTGGGGAGCATATCGCGGGCGGTGTTGGCGGCGGCCGCCGCCCCCCCCCCCCCCCCCACACCCCCTCAGCTTGGTGATCAGCCGCAGGGGGACCCTGGGTTGCTGCCCCAGACTCAGGAGGCAGCAGTTGCCAAGCCAGAGGGGCATGGGGGGCCTCCCTGCGTGCTCCCCAGCGGACCCAGAAGTGGACTGGAAGTGCTTCTGGTCCACTTCTGGATCTGCTGTTGAGCATGCTGCGGAGCCTCCCGTGCTCCTGTGGGATGCTCCATGCACCCCAACGTCGCAGCATTCACAGTCGCCTGCCACCTAGAGGTATGTAGAAAAAACATTTAAAGCTGCATCTATGTCTGAATTTCTGAATCTTTCCGAAGCTCTCCAAATTGATTTGGAGGGTTCCGATTTGATTTGGAGAGAGTAAAGAGTCCTTTGATTCAATTTTGATTCCAAGATTTGGCCACCAAATCGGACCGAATCTCCACTGAATTGAATCAGGGCCTGAAGCTTCACAGAGCCCTACTTGCTACCTTTATCACCTCTCAGTGGACTAAATGGAATGTCTCTATTACATACCCAATTTCAATAAAAACGCAGATGTACACACAAACCTTCAAAGCAAGGGATTATTTATATGTACTATTCCAGTATTTATATAGATTATGATATAATTACTATTGAAAATATATTATCAAACATCTATCTAGCTATTTATGCTATATTCAAGATATGTTTCTAGGGTGGCAAATGATATCAAGTTACACAAATGTAAACCACAGAGTGTGGTAAATCTCACATACCTTTCTCTCTTGCCTATTGTCTTTCTATTCCCTTTCAGCTGCATGTATAATGTTAGTATCTGTTAAAATAAGTCCATGTGGCGAACAGAGATCTATTTACCATCGAGTAATTTCTGTTGCAACTTCTGAACCATACTTCTCTAAATACAATAATTGAGTAATTGTTATGGAGACACAACCAGGTCAGTTATGCCCAAAATTAGGTTTTAAAAGATAGATACAGAAGCATACCTCATCACTTCTGTGCCCTAGATGGCACAGTGCATGGGGTAGCATCAGTGGTTGTGCTGCTGACAGAGGTAGTGCTGGCCAAACTAGCAGTGTAGTGGTGGCTATTTTTCTATGCCCTCCTCCCCCAACTTGGCAGCCAGGGCTGGTGCCCTGGTCATCCCCTTCTGCCCCGCTTAACTATGGTATTGGATAGTGAGTATATACTGGAAACTTAACAACTAAGATTTATTTTTAATTTTTAAATTTTGATGAAAACTTTGCTCTGCATGGATTCACCTGCTTGCCTGCCATGTGATCATAAAGGACTCTTACAGAAGTGACATTTGTTGTACAACTGGCCCCCTGAAAGTACTCTACAGCCATGCCATGATAGAAGTGCATAGCTGCAGAGCACTTTAGAAGTGACTGATTGCATGACAAATTAACTCTCATCAAATGAGAGTTCAGATGAAAGCACTCCAAAGTGGAGCACTTTAGGTAACTTCTGTGCATGATCAGGGCAGGGATGATGCATATCAGCCCCACCTCTGGTGCTGTCTGCAGGAAGGGAGGGGGAAAAGGGAGGGGATGGAGCTGAGAGCTGGGGTTTGCCTGGCCTGAGCTGGAGTGTGGGTAGGTGGACTGGAGCCCTCTCACCTACCCCCCTGGGCCCTCGCCCTCCAGTTCAGGCTGGACAACCCCATAGCATCCTTCTCTTCTTTCTCCCCACTTCCTTCCTGCAGACAGTAACAGAGATGGGAGGGACGGGGCTAGGGGAGAGGCTGCAGGTGGCAACTCCTCAAATGGATCAGCTCCAAAGTGGAGCTCAATCCTCCCCTCTCCCCTCCCCTCCACACCCAACAGCAAATGTCTGTTGGGTGGAGGTAGGTGGGGGTCACTCTAACTCATGGCACTTTCTGTGAAGCACCATAAGTGAGAGAGGGAAACTGCATGTCTGGTGACACAGAACATATATGAGTCAGAAAGTGAAACTGAGGTCTGTTTTCTTTGACCAAGCTGGTTAAAATGTAGAAGTTAAACAAAAGGAATTAGTGATGAAAATCAGTAAAATTTCAAACACTTTCAGTATTCATAATTTATCACACTCTTTATAAAATGGGTAAGGGATTTAGTATGAAAGGGCAATTTATTAATAGTTTTAATTTGATAGCATCCCTTCAGATGAATAGCAATTAAAATATTAGTTACTGATGCTAAAAGACAACAATACCTATGACAATTGAAGAGCTTCAGGAACTGTTTCTAATAACAGAGTGTTATTTATTGGACATAGTAATAGACTTATTAAATCTACATTTCAGAGCACAGTTGGGATCTTAATATAAAAACAGAGCAAAGGCACATGGAAAAAAAAGATAATCAACTTTCTACCTTGCTCCATAATTTATTTTCATATTGTAATGTTCTTCCTCTTCCTTTAAAGCTTAGCTAAGCCCTTGCTTCATCCCTGGGTCTGTTTCTTTTATAGCCCAAGATCTGATTCATTTTTTTCCCTGCAGAGAAGGTGCAGCAGCAGCAAGACAGTAAATGAATAAAGTAAACTGGCCATTTCTGCCACTTGAGATACAAATAGACACTATGAAGGAGGCATACATAAGAGAACATCTGTAGGTCCCAGAATGAAAGAGATAACTCAGCTGAACTCAGTGAATCTGGACACAATGGGTACAATAAGCATACATACTTGTTTTCATGTATTTTATAAGAAGGAGAAATCTGTTTTCTTCCATACAATTGTCTCATTAAGATCAATATTGTAAATAGCCAGATTTTTCTCCTCTAGATTCCTCTCTGAAACAGAGTGAAATTAATGATGGTCATTGGTGTAGTCTCTTTCTGAGAACTTTCTGAAATAAAGATTTTATCATTCTTTACCACTCTCCCATCCACATCAACATAAGACATGCAAAACATAAATTTCCTAGCACTGGTATAAATGCTAGACCTTGACAGTGATTCTGAGATTTAAATAATATGTCTCTTTATTCCTGAGAACAGATTAAATAGACCTATCTTCAACCTCACTTCAACTCAACCTCTAATTTTTCAGGGATAATTAGTAACACTTTGATATCCAACTACTTCATTTGTTCTTGTAGATATGTAGGTATCCAATTGCTACTGTTGGATACCTACATCAGTTGGATACCTACATCTCTCTTTCCCATTCCCAATTGCTGTAGGTGGTGGGAGAGGTTCTATGGCCTGAGTCATACCCCCCGCTGGACATTTACAGTGTTGCTATGTAGATTGCACACCCTGAATCTACAAGTCTGCAAGCTTTTCTCTGTCTGATTAGAGACAATGCACTGTCTCTGGCTCTGGGTTTTGTAGCAAACTCTTAGGATCCACCTTGTCCTTGTTTTCCAGGCTAGTAGACACTCTGGTTTACAGTTTGACCCTTTAGAGACACCTGATAGTTGAAACAAAAAGAGACAGGCTATGCAAAATGAATTCTACATGAAACCTACCCTTTCCTTATAGGTAACACATGGAATTAATACATAATTTAAGAGAAAAATACCTGACTGTCAATTCCTCACTGTACCTTACCCTTCTTCTGTTCACCATTACTTCACTATAACTCACCCTTCCTTTTTAAGCTTCCGGAGAAACCAACATTTCACAAAGGGGCATGGATGTGGACACATGTACTGGGAGGAACACAGAAACAGAGCACTTCTAAAGAGTTAGATTATGTTGCCTCTTGCATCATGTTATCCTATTCCTCCAAGAAATCCACAATATTTTCTTCCAGGCTTAACACATCCACTTTCATTAACTTAATCAAATGGTATAAAGGAGGCAGCAGGATCATCTGTTTCTGAGAGTTACACTAACATATTAATTGACAAAAGTTTCTTAGGCTACACAGAACATCAGAACCTGTCAAACACAGGAGGATGACTCATAAAACATTCAAACTTAAATAATTTTTGTAGCTGACTAGCTTGACAATCCTAACAGCACTAAAGATATAGGGACAGCATCTAAAAACATACCGACTTGCATACATAATCAACTACCAATTATACAAACACAATTAAAAATTAGACTGCTCATCACTGATTCACACAAGACAGCTTTACAGTAGGTTTGTGATCACTGCATAGATAATGGTGCTTTTACCTAACTTGGCTGCACAGATTTTGTGACAGATACCAAATATTTCTTGTTTAGTGCAATTACTTTCCATTTAAACTTAATATATTGCATAGGATACTATTATGTTAACATTCTCCTGCTTTAACTGTTTTCTTGGCAATAGCCCCACTGTGCAGGTGCTCAGAGCAGATGCTGTCCTAATCTTTATCCAAGAACCACTGTGTCTTCTCAGCAGTGGAAAGTTCTTCAATTTTCCTTTTGCCTAGGGCTACCGGTTTTCATGCCTGGCAAACAACCCTTGGAAACTTGGCATTTAGTGAATAAAAACTAACACATTTTACAACCCTCATTTGTGACCTTTGGATACTTCTGTTATTTCTAAGCTCATTTCCTTCTTGCATTTTGTTGAGATAAAGATTCAAGAAAATCTAGATGAAATCTAGATGAAATCTTATACCTGGGTTTGAGAATTCTCTTTGAAAACTGCTGGTAGCCACTGAGTGTTTTACACTTTAAAAAAAAAGAAATACTCTTTCATAAAAGATCTTTACAAAATTTGCTATTCAGCTCTGTTAATTTAATCTTTGTTTCTTCACCTCCATAATGCTACAGATGGGATCTTTCAAAATCATTGTTTAGTTCTAAAAAAGGTCCGTGTGCTGTCCTGTTTGTCTACCACATTATTTGCACAACCGTATCACCTAGAAGCATTGGTTTTGTCATGCAAACACATAGAAAGTCTTTGCCCTGAGGAGCTTACCATTTAAAAAGACAGCACAGGCAAAGGAAATCTTTTTATCCCCATTTTATAAGCAGGGAGCTGTCTTACCCAAGCTCACCAGGACACCACTATGCATCACTTAACAGATGGTAACATACATTATGAGACAAGTGCCTAGGCAGGAATCTGGAAGACAGAGTGGAAGCAATAACTGGGTGCCTTCATTTAATGCCCTGTCATATTTGTCAAAGAAGATATCTTAATACTATTTCTTTAGTAGAAGACAGACCCATCAACAGCTAATATTGGCTATTTCAATTACAGAAACAAATCTTGTTCTGTGAAGTGGATGTTCTACACTGGCACCTCAGAAACTGTTTTTACAATGGAAGAAAATGAGATTTCTGGTATAAGGGTACTCTCAAAGTCTGAGCTGAACAAGAAATGATTAGTAGAGAAAATATTATCAGACAATAAACACCTTGTACACACCTGAAATAGCATGATCCACAAGGCAAATGGATATAGAAGAGTTCTCAATGTAATAATGGGGCAGTGGGATGATGAAGGTTGACCTGTCAGTGAACAGCTGCCATCTATAATATTGATGTGAAATACCATATTTACTTGAACCCAAGATAAGGCTTTTCTTTAGTTAGCATTGGAAGAAAGCCCCTTGACTTTGATTTGAGTACAAGGCATTGGGGGAGCGAGGGAGGTTAGGCAGGTTGCTTCTGAGACTCTAACTCTGGGCTCAAGCCCCAGGTCAGAGCCAGAATTAGCCTCTGTACCCTCCTCCTTACTGACAGGTGTGGCTGGGGCTCCAGCCCCATTTCCTCCCAGGGCATGGAGCACATGGCAGCTCCATACCCAGCCCAACCAATCAGCAGTGGCACAGATTGGGCGGCCATGGGGCTGGTTAGGATCCACAATTCCATGGGCTCCATGCTGTGCCCCAGGAGGAAATGGAGATGGAGCTGCATCTGATGGTAAGCTGTGTTGGGAGTGAGGTCAAACACTCTTGAGAGCAGGAGGTGAAGGGGGCAGAGTCTACAGGAAGCAGACAGGAGGGCAGATCCTGTGGTGGGGGGGCAGGTGCTGGGGTAGAGTCTGTGGGGGGGCAGATACAGGGGGGTGCAGGCACCGTGGGGGTATTGTCAGACTGCCAGAGAAAAAGGTGAGGCTGGGGACAGAGGGGAAAAGGGATGCCTGCTTCCCCACTATCTGATCCCCTGCCACTGCTTTCCTTGCTGTAGCAGTAGGGGTAGGGGGGATGAATTTAAGATGATCCTATGATGATTAGATGCTATATATGGAAAATTAAAACAAATTTAGAAATTTTCCATATATAGAATCTAATTATTCATCTTGAAGTTGTCTTGGATATGGGTAAATACAATGATAGATTTCCGAATATATGAGAGTGCTGATTGCTTCCATATATGACCAAGAAGCTTAGTGAGCCAGGAAAGAACATGAATTAAGTGTGTTTTTCAACCTACACACTGAAGGGAAAGATCAACGGGACTTGATGGGCATATGTCCTTGCTGGGAGCGATCTTTGCAGAATGCAAGATAGTGAGTATTCCGGTACTTATCTATTAAGTAAATACTTGTTTCAATATTTTAGAAAATATTTGTACCTCTTTTTGTTGAAACCGGAAGGTTTAACAACACTTATAGATTAATAGATTCATATGTGTTAGGGTCAGAAGGGTAGAGTCAGAAGGGACCTCAGTAGGTCATCGAGTCCGACCCCCTGCCCCGGGCAGGAAATTGAATTGTTCTAAATTCAATTAAAAAAAAAATTTTAAATCTGCAGATTTTTTCACAGAAAATTTCATTGGAAATATTTCTTTGATTTTTTACTTGGAAAATTTGACAAAATTTGTCAAAATTGTGGAAGTTTTCAGCCAGTCATGTGGTCAATTTTAATCACGTACTAAGTCCTTTACTGTTTTTGTCCTCCCACATATCTACTGGCCCTGTTTCACAAAAATATATCCTATTTTTATTGGCTAAATCTGGTGTTACTTACTATGGTACTGCTGAATGCCACTTGAGACTGGGAGCTGTCACAACGTCCCAATGACCTCTTCCTTGCATGTCCAGGAACATGAGCCCTGGCACTTTGACACCTTCTCAAAGGTTTTGCACTTTTCTGTTTTAAAGTGGCTTGTTTCTCAATCTCAATCGCAGGAAAAATGGCTTGCTGACATTTTGCCCAGTCTGCATCTTCCAAGTCCATATCCTTATGGGTCTCCAATCGTTTGGCTGTAAGAGAAAAAACAAGACTGTGTCTTTTTTTTGTGTGCATTATTAGCAGTGCTGAGAGAGGTTTTTTTTTAATACCAACTCAAAACCATCACCAGAAAACCTTCAGCGCACAGTTCAGTTCCTTGGCAAACCTCCATCTTAAATGTGTGTTATGACAAACCAAATACATTACATTTTAAAAGAGACTGATGACTTCTATGGATTTCTCTTAGCACTCTTAGTGTTTAGCTGCACTTTGCAGTTCAGTGGCACAGAAGAATCAACTATGGTAATTAATCCACAAATTTGGTAATGTTTTCAGTCACACAGCACAAACATCTATTTGGCAGCGGCTGGGCAGCTTAATGACATTCTAAGCACTATGGGGAGCTGGAATAGTTTTATGCCTGATAAATACTGTGGGTCTAATCCTGTACTACTTACATAGGCAGAACTCCCAATGAAATAACAGAACAGCAAAGGGAGTTTAAAGCCAAATGGTAATTTTGTCTCAGTAAAGACTGAGCGATTAAACCATTAGTACTTATTAATGACAAAGTAACTATCAGCAATGGACCTTAGCCAAAACCTCCAAATCAAATAGCCCCCAAATCCAGGAAACTTCAGAAGCTGACTGTGCAGTTTGGGCCATCTCTAGCAAATGCATTATTGTTCCTCTCTCCTATATCACACAGCTGATTGTGTGGTAATTACTCCTGGACCTACTAAGTTTAATTACCAACTAATCTCACTTAGTGAGAATCTGGGAAAGGAGTGGCTGGCAGTTACTGCAGAGGTATGAATTTAAGAGGAAATTTCTTTCTCGTAGACTTGAATAAGTAATCAAAGTAGAGCAGAAGCTAAGATGTTTGACGTGGGAATGTGAAGACTAGCACATTTAATTTATATGTAATTTTAAAAACATTGTTCTGGTGAACCTTCATATCAAGACATCATTGCCAAAAAGCAAACTAATCCTACACCTCACCAGTCAGGAAAAGGTACAGTAGGATCAAATACAAAAAGTCATACAAAGAGAAAGGCCAGTGTAACAATATACATCTCTCACCATTTTCCTGATGTGAAAACTCATTTCCATTGATAGTACAACGCCGAAACACCATTTTGTTCTCTGTTAGTGTCCCAGTTTTGTCAGAGAAAATGTGTTGGATTTGCCCAAGATCTTCAGTGATATTTAAGGCTCGACACTGTATGGGAAAATCTCTCTCTTCATCGTACAGATCAATGTCATTGTGAATCAAGAAAACTTGGCCCAATTTGACTAACTCAATGGATACGTAGAGAGAGATGGGGATCAACACCTGAAAGAAGAATTATTCTCAAGATGTTAGCACCTCATTAGTAGGTTTTGTTCCTCGCCGTACTTTTCAATATCAGCAAAACCTGTGTCAGAGGCTGTCATAACACATTATAGAGGAACAAAACAACATGTCTTTCCAAAGTCATATTCTAAAACTGAGTATAAATGGCCAGCAACAACTGTCCAGAAATGGGGAAATGATGTACACATATGGATAGGTGCAGCAAATGTGGGTCAGCCGGCCCCCATCAGATTTGAAAGTGCTCAAATAGGGTTCACAACTAAATCTGGTTGAAAATTTTCAGACAAAAGTGCTGGCTTGATTAACTTGAAATGTTTCATTTGAAGCATTTAGGGTTCCATGGACTTCTTGCCAAATCCAAGGTGGAGTCCTAAGAAAGCTTTGCCTGAATTCCTGGGGGACTGCTTCAGGACTAGACACCCAGATTATCCAGAGTATTTGCTTAGATGACGGTGCCCCTGGCTTATTGTTCCTTTAAAAAGATGGAGCATATCTTTGCAAATCCCATAAGTATCCCCTCTGTGCATCACGTCCACCCCTTGCCTTAATTCCACCCCCCAGACTCTGAAAGCTTAAAATGCAGAAGTAGTCTTTTTCTTTAATAAAAAATAGCTCCTCTAGGGATTCAACCAACAGCTCAGAAAGTTGTCTTCATATTTCATCCATATTAAGCAAATTCTGTCTGCTTAAATCTTAGCAGCTATAACAATAAATAGGAAAAATAAATGCATTTTCCCCTCATCCCATAAAACGTTCTGTTAGGTTTAATCGGGCTCAGATATATGAGTTTCCTAGTTCTAATTTATCTTTCCCAAATCAACACAGCCTTATCTAGTTGTTATTCCCCATCAGTAAAAACTACAATAATTAGTTTCACTCTTTCTTTGGGCTTCTAAGCAGAATTCTTACTCTGAAACAAGACCCACATCCTTCCTATCAACATGCATGTGAAGGGTTAAAATAAGCAAAGAAAAATCTATAATTTAAAAGGAATTGTGTAGTCATATTTTACTTGAATTGAGCTTTAGGGCTCTTATACTTAAAAAGCTTTCATGATAAAAGGGCCTCACCCAAAGGCATAGCATCTGGTTCTTCTATTTCAGCTAAAATGTACATCTTATCTCTAGCAAATAAACAAATCCTTTCTGGCCAGTATTTAATAGTGTCTATAAACACAAAAATGTCTTGATCAAGTTGATTTTTGCTAAAGAGAGTAAATACTTTAGCCTACTACAGTAATGAACCAGCATACTACACTAACAGTGTTATATTTTACAGCAGGGGCTGGCAACTTTATCTAGTCTGATGTGGGACGGGTGGTGTCAGCAGCACATCAACAGTGGCAGGCTGTTTGGCCCCAGCACGGGCACAGACACGGGCACGGGCAAAGCCTGTGGCTCTGCTGGCCATATCCAGCAGCTCTGCAGACTGGCTTGGGCCTGCAGGCTGTATGTTGCCATCTCCTGCTCTACAGCATTCTGTGAGCATTTCTTGAAAATAGAGTTGTGAATTTATAAAAGCTAAGAAAAAAGAAAAGTCAAAGTATCAAACATCTGTTACTTGACTTTTTTTTGTTAGCCATTATATGCACCTTCTGAATCTCAAAGCCATTACAGAGAGTTTGTTTTCTTCCTTTTACCTGTAACAAGATGATCATTGTCAGGAACATGTAGAAACCAGCAAGAGCCGATGACAAATAGTAACCATTTACATCTGGGACATTGTATGGTGGGTGTTCTGAAAAGCTCCCATTCCAAATGCCATGGCCTGTGGAAAAGATACACACTATTTTACTGGACTAAACTGGTGATATCCAAGTTGTCGAATGTGTGGACTCAGCTGCTCAAATTAATTAAAAATAAATAAGAGTTCTCAAACAGTAGAATAACAGAATAATTGAAAATCAGGGTTGGAAGGGACCTCAGGAGGTCATCTAGTCCAACCCCCTGCTCAAACCTGGACCAGCTTCAAATATATCATCTCAGGCAAGACTGTGTCTAGCTGAGTCTTGAAAACCTCCAAGGATGGAAATTCTACAACCTCTCTGGGTAACCTGTTCCAGTGCTTTACTACTCTACTAGTAGGAAAGTGTTTCCTAATATCTAACCAAAACTTCCCTTGCTGCAGCTTGAGACCAGTGCTCTTTATTCTGTCATCTGTCACCACTGAGAACAGTCTAGCTTCATCCTCTTTGTAATCACTGTTCAGGAAATTGAAAGCTCCTATTAAATTCCTTTTCAGTCTTCTCTTCTCCAGACTAAATAAGCCCAGTACTCTCAGCCTTTCCTTAAGTCACATGCTCCAGCCCTCTAATCATTTTTATTGCTCAACATGGGACTCTTTCCAATTTATCTACATTCTTTCTGTAGTAGGGGCCAGGCAATAGCCCCTAGCAATGCTGAAAACATACTGTAAACTCGATCAGTATGTTACAGAAATGTACTACTATATCCTACATTAACAATAATTATAAACTTGAAGTGTGTGTGTTTTTAGTTGATCACTGTCTGCAGGAGTCTCCCCAGAGCTCTTTTCCTCACCCATTTTAGTTCTCCCAATTTTCTGTCTCTGGATGATCACCTTGGTTTATACAGTTTCAAAACATCATCTAGGCCAGGGGTTGTCAACCAGGGGTATGCATACCCCTTGGGGTACTTGGGAAGGCCCCAGGGGGTACGCATCAGCAGTGTGGAGAAGTGGAGGCACTTCCAGTGTTTGCCAGCGGCACTTCCGACTTTCCTGCCGGCACTTCTGGTCACGCTGCTGGTGTTTCTGGTTTTGCCACCGGTGCTTTTGGTTTTGTCACCAGGACTTCTGGTTTTGCCACTGTTCATGGGTCCTCCCCCCCTGCTTGTCGATCAGCCGCCAGAGGACTCCACCCCTTGCACTGGGCTGCCAGGGGACCCCCTGCTTCTTGACTGGCCGCCAGGGATACACCAACCAAAAAAGGTTGAAAACCCCTGATCCAGGCTGAAATTTTCTTTCTTCAACACTGGCCTCATAAATTTAACATGGAGTCCATCCTCTTTTTTCTTAAACCTTCCTCGCTTCCTTTTCTGTCTTACTGTTGACACCACAGACCTGTATTCTGAGAGTTTAAATTTATTCCTTTCCCTTCATATAACCAGGCCATATCCTCAAACTGTTGCTGCTTCTTCTTCAGCATTTCCAAAATCCATCCATGTTTTTTTTTGCAGATCAGCCACATTTCTTGTGCAGCGTTCAAGTACATCAAACCAGGATTACTGCAACATCTTTCTTTCTGGTCTCCCAGATACACTGCCCAAAAATGCCTCTGGCTCCAAAATGAATTTCTATATGGAGCCAGTATATGATGATACAGAAGAGGCAGTTAGTGGAAATGCAGTCTTTCCTCATGGTGCCTGTGTCTTCAGACATATTTCGGTAGGTGAAACCTTGACTGGTTCACTCTTTCTTATTCAGTCAATTTTGACCTCTGCCTACACTCCTGATTAAAAAGTATTATTAAAACCAACTGTGGATACATCTCTCTAAGGTGTACATCTTTCCAAGATGGGAACAAAGATTCTTAAGAATTATTTCATGCTCGCCACAAGAACACCTGTTAGGCAGCAATAGCTTTTGGCCGCGATAGACTTTTATTCTATTTGAACAAGGGCTATTGTTCCATCTCACGTATCACTTCTGCCTCCTGGTTTTGCATTATCTACAAATAAAATACTGATCATGAATTCAGCAACAGTATTTTTATTACAGGAGTTCTGCAATTTTATCATTCAAAGCGCAAACTATTTTCTGGTCTGAAAGACATTTTGAAAGGATGAAAGCTAACAGACTTGTTACTTTTTTACATGTTTCA